CACTCTCACCACTCCTGTTCTGTATTATACTGGAAGTCCTAGACAAACAAAGCAAGAAAAATAAAGATAAACAAATTAGAAAGGAAGAGGTCAAGCTACCTCTCACAGGTGACATGACCCTGTAATAGAAAAGTCAAAAAAAAGTCTCCTAAACTTCAAAACCATTTAATGAGGAAGGAAGGAATAGTGTCTTAACATATGGCACTCAAAATGCATTCCACATGCAGACAAATTAAAGATTCATACTTTTTTAAAATTGTACACACATAAGAAAAAAGTATGGGACCTAATTTTTTTCAATAGTAATTTATTAAACAATAAGGTACTGGCTCAAGTTTCACAACAATCTTAGTATAATTCTAATCATATGTGCCCTGGTGTGTCACTGTTGAGTAAACAGTGGACTGCTAACTGCAAGTTCAGCAGTTCAGATCTACCAGGTGCTCCTCGGAAACCATACACAGGATCGCTATGAGTCAGAATCAACATGATGGAACATTAACACCACCTCCAGGGATAGCTAAGATAACCAACAAAAAGGGGAAGTAAGAATTGGAGGAGGTAGGCAGAAACGAATCTGTATCCATTGCTGGTGAGAATGCTATTGAATGCTGCTGAAAATAATTTGGCTGCTCCTCACAAAACTCGAGCTGGGGCTGTCATATAAACCAGCAATTCCCCTCCTAGGCATATTCCTTAGAGGTCTACTAGAAGTGTCACACACAGGCATATGCATACCTGTGCAGCATTCCTCACAACAGCTGGAAGGTGGGGAAAATCAAGTGCTTATCATCAGGTAAATGCATAAACAAAATACAGTATATGTGTACAACGAACTATTCCTCAGCTTTAAAGAGAAATGAAGTTCTGATAAATTCTATAACATGTATGAACCCTGAAGACATGCTGAATGCATTTAAGTCAGTTACAAAATGGCAAATATTGCACAAGGATAGGTCATGGAAATCATGGAAACCTTTATTAAATAAAGTTTTCAAAATCTGATACTTTTTTTTAAAATAAAGAATTAGTGCTTGGCATATCCTCCGTGTGTAGATCTGTACACTTCCATGTCTCCAATCCTCCTTGAAGAATTCTGCACACTTCAATTTACACCATGTCAAAACATGGTTTGGACATCCTTGAGGAACTAAAATCATTTGTCTTTGAAATTTTCTTTGTAATTTGGAAACAGAAGTTTGAAGAAGCTTGGTCAGAGCTGTAAGGTGGATGGAGTAAGGTGTCCCATGAAATTCTCATAGGGGAATTCTTGTTATTCGCAGAGAATGCACAGGTGCATTACCCTAATGGGGCTCATTTCTTAACCAGTGTAGTTTTCACTTTTCTTGAGACATCTTCATTATTAGCTCCTCTGATAACACTGTGTCCTTCGAGAAAATCTATCAGGATGACCCCTGTGGAGTCCCCAAAATCTATCACTATAACCTTCTGAGGTAACCTCTCTACCTTGAATGTAACTCACCCAGCTAATGTTCTCCAAAGCCACTGTTATATTTCATCTTTGTTTTGAGGGTACCATAATGAGAATAAGACAAGCATATTATTGACAGAAATTGTTTGTAGTCATCCATTGATCAGAGAGGTAATGTGTAATCACATTTTGTATGGAATAAACCCAAGCTTGTATGAACAGGAAAAAAAAAAAAGTTAAGAGAATGAAAAGACAAACAATACTTTATTAAATTACAAGGTAACCTGTAATCCACCCTGAAAAATTAATATACTTGCACATTAATATAAAAAAAAGAGGAAAATCCAGATGATTTAGTAAACACAACAGAAATGAAAATGAAAACAAAGCCCATAAACAAAATGAACTCTGTGCAGAAAATTATGTGGAACAAACAAACACAAAAAAAAGACAGTAATCAATTCACACCTATCAATAAACACACTGAATGCAAATGGATTAAGTGCATCAGTCAAAAGACATAGAGAATAGAATGGATAAGAAAACAGGATCCTTCAATGTGTGGTCTACAAGAGATACATCAAAAAGATGGAGACAGCCTAAACGTCCATCAACAGAAGAATGTTTAACAAATATCACTACATACACACAATGGAATACTAAGCAATACTGAAGAATAACGATGAATCTATGAAACCCCTCACAACATGGATGAGCCTGGAAGACATTATACTGAGTGAAATTAATCAATCACAAAAGGACAAACATTGAAGGCATTATTGTATAAAGTTAAGATTCATAACTACTACACTACCAGAGCTCTTTAATGAATGAAGTGGTGGTGGTGGTGGTGGTGGTGGTGGTGGTGGTGTGCCATGGAGTTGGTTCTGACTCATAGCAACCCTGTAACAGGGTTTCAGAGGTTTCCGAGACTGTAAATCTTTTCGGAGTAGAAAGCCTCATCTTTCTCTCACTGAACAGCTGGTAGTTTCGAACTGCTGACTTAGAGGTTCATAGCCCAATTCATAACCACTGCACTACCAGGGGTCCTTAGGAAGCATCAAAAGAAAATGGAAGGAATATATAAAGTCACTGTGCCAAAATTAAGTGGTCGATATTCAACTATTTCAAGAGGTTGTATATGATCAAGAACCAATGGTATTGAAAGAAGAAGTCCAAGTTGCACTGAAAGCATTATTGAAAAACAAGACTCCAGGAATTGATGGAATACCAACTGAAAACTTTCAACAAACTGATGCAGTGCTGGAAGTGCTCTGTCCTTCATACCAAGAAGTTTGGAAGAGCTGGCCAACAAAGTAGAACAGATCGGTATTTGTGAATCTATAATAAAGGTGACCAAACAATGTGGAAATTGCTGAACAATATTATTAATATCATGCACAAGTAAAATTTTCCTGAAAATAATTCAAAAACCATTGTAGCTGGACATCAACAGGGAGTTGTCAGAAATTTGACACAGATTCAGAAGAGGACATGTAACTAGGGATATAATTTCTGATGCCTAGTGGATCTTGGCTAAAATCAGAGACTACTTGAAAGATGTTTACTTGTGCTTTATTGACTATGCAAAGGTATTCAATTGTGTGAGTCTTAACAAACTATGCATTACATTGAGATATCCCAGGAACACTTTACTGTGCTCATGAGGAACCTGTATATAGATCAAGACACAGAACAGCATGAAGGAAAACTAAATGTTTTAAAATTGTTGTGTCCTTTCATCATACTTATTCAATCTGTATACTATGCAAGTAATCGGAGAAGCTCAGTTATACAAAGAAGAATATGGCATCAGGATTACAAGAAGACCCATTAAAAGCTGCAATATGTAAACAATATAACCTTGTTTGCTGGAAGCAGAGGACTTAAAATACTTACTGATTAAGATCAAAGACTAAAGCCTTTGGTATGGATGGTACCTCAATATAAAGAAAATAAAAATCCTCACAACTGGGTCAATAACATCATGATAAATGGAGAAAATATTAAAGTTGTCAAATATTTCATTTTGCTTTGACCCACAATCAACACTCATGGAATTATCAGTTGCTAAATCAAACGACGTATTATTGCATTAGGTAAATCTGCTGTACAATACCTCTTTAAAGTGTTCAAGAGCAAAGATAATACTTTGAGAACTAAGGTGCACTTGATCTAAGTCATGGTATTTTCAATAGCCTCACTGCATTGGACAATGAGTAAGGAAGATGATAGAAGAATCGATACATTTGAGTTACAGTGTTGGAGAAAAATATTAAAATTAGCATGGATTGCCAGAACAACAAACAAATCTGTCTTAGAAGAAATATAGGCAGCATCCTTAGAAGCCAGGATGGTGAGACTTCTCTCGTATTTTGTACTTTGGACATGTTGTCAGCAGGGAACAGTCCCTGGAGAAGAACATCATCCTTGGTAGAGTCAATGAAAAAGAGGAAGATAACCAACGAGATGGATTCACACAGTGGCAGTAACAATGGGATTAAACACAATAATTATGAGGATGACACAGAACAGTGCAATGTTGCGTTCTTTTGTACATGTGGTCCCTATGTTGTTGGTATTAAGTGCTGTCGAGTCAGTTCCGACGCAAAGTGACCCTCTATAGTTCCGATCAAGGATTGGTTGTGGGTTTGATCCACCAACCTTGCAGTTAGAGGAGTTCAATGCTTATCTAACAGCACCAAACCAGGACTCCACGGTCACTATGAGTCAGAACCAACTTAGTAACACCTAACAATTGAGTTGTAAGGCTTAAAATGAATCTTTTATTATCTGACTCTTGTAAGCATTCCAGGGTCTGTAATCTACAGAGTTGAGGTTAGACTTCTTACCACCAGTACTGCCATATCTTATTTAAACAACGTAAAGTTTAGTATCTATCAACTTTCTTACTGGGATGCTAGGAATCATCAGATTGGAGAGAAAATATGATAAAAATATTTAAATGCATATTTCATCTTAGGGTTTCTTTCTAACATATAATAAGATATACTATCACACAATAAAAGGAAAAAATAGATAGTGATATCAGTAGAAAAATACAGATAACCATTTTCATGTACTAAAACCAAACTAAATACACAAAAAAGGCTTTATCTTCAGTTTTAAAATGTCTAGGATTTCCTAGTATGAGTTAATAATAGAATCTTAAATAAAATAAAAAGTTCTACTTATTCAAGGAGTCCTGGTATGGCGTTGTTGGTTGTTGGCACTGGACTACAAAGTCCGCTTGAATCACAAGTCTGGCAGTTCAAGCTCACCAGCTACTCCTCAGAAACCCTATACAGAGTCTCCATAAGATGGCACTTAACAACAACAACAATTTAATCAAAGTCATTAATAAAGTGATAGTAAATGAAAACAGAAATGCTTTCGCAGTGTTTGATAAAGAATCATAATTCACTTAACAAGTATCTGAATATCAACAATATATACTAATTACTGTTTAGGGAACTTAGTACTCAATGGTGAACAAAACAAGAACATAAAAATGTTATTTTGAAAGACATAACACATTTCTTTTAGTTTTTAATAAAACTATATTTACCTCAAAGCCAAGTCTATCCTTTTCTTTCCAAAAACAAAAATGTGTTACTTTTTTATCCCAGAATTCATCTGGCTTCACTACACAAACGAGGGACACCTCAGCTGGAACAACATTCTATAAAATGGAGGAAAAAATTCCAAATTACACGTGCAAAATAAACACTATATTAAAAGATAAATTGCTAGATATTTATTAGGCTAAATAAGAGACCTTTGAAAAAGAATTAAAATAATAAAATAGAAGAAACATTCAAAATTCAGAACATATACAATTAAAAACTCTATAAAAACAAGCAGATCCAGATAAGACTTCAAACAAATAATGAAATTAGAAGATACATGTGGATTAGTTCTTACTTTATTGACTCTCTCTAGTAAGAATATGTTTAGGTTGAACTGCAAGATTTAAAGTTTAGTTGAGATTAAAGTTAGATTTCCTATGCTATGGAAAAATGCTTTTTTATAGCACAATTATCTTAAAGAATTTCTTCACACCATATGAAATCAATTTCCTTACAAAATGAACTTATTGGTCATTCTAAAAAGACCAAGGTTCTGCATGATTACTAACTTGAAGGCAAAAAAGATAATTATGACAAATATAATTTCACATTTACTAGATGTGGTTAATCATATTACCTACAAAGAATGGAAATTAATACTTTGTTAGAAAATATTCCACAAAATATTTTATCAGTAAATCCTGCAGAATCTATTTTTAACATGTCTTAAATCTAACCTTGTCTATTACCTGGATTGCTAATCTCTCCATAGTAGCCAGCCTCCTGAATATCCTGTTAAACAGTCTCCCTGTCTGATGTCCTCTGTTACCAAAGCCTTCCAGGCTCAGACCCCTGTCAGCCTCTCAGAACACATGTCACACTACTCCCATTCGACTTTGGTTTGCCCTTGGCTTCTGTCTGGAATGCTTTACACCTAGAAGGACTGCTCCCTAGTTTAGCTTAGGATTCTACTCAAATATTCGCTCTTCAGTGAGGCTTTCCCAGGCCACACTAAAGTCGGGCCATCTCACTCAGTCTACTCTTAGTCCTCTATTTCTCCTCCTGGCATTTTTCACTATGTGGCACCACAATATGTATTAATGTATTGTCTGATTTTGCAAGTAGAATGCAAACTTCTCAATGACAGGAGTTTTATTTATCATGTCAGTCTTAAATCTCCAGTGCTTATGCTAATGCCTGGAATACAGAAGATGTTCTATAAATATTTGTTGCATAAATGCGCCATCATTAACAAATGCAGTTTTACAGAAGAGTATACTGAGCTTCAGAGAACTAAAATACCTTGTCCAGCACCACAGAGCTAAAAAGTGATGCAGCAGAAACAGAACCCAGAAGTGCCTGATTCTGAAGTTCTACCATTTCGTATCTTCTAAACCAAGGCTTGTCAATTGCCAATATTTTTCTGAAAGGTGAAGTTAGTGTTATGTTAGACTTTGTAGGCCATACAGTCTCTGTAACAACTATTCAACTCTGCTGCTATAGTGTGACAGCAGACATAGACAATAAGTAAATGAAATTGGCACATGTAGGCTCAAATAAAACTTTATTTACAAACTCAAGGGACAACCACTGTGCTAGATCATAAATGGCCCCACTGAATTATTATTACAGTTACATATTATTATTATATTATAACCATCATTAATTAGGAGAAAATAGAAAACGTTTCGATGTAAACATCTCATTAGATATGTCAGAAATCTGGTGACCGTGCAGTGACTGGATTATGAAGAAGATAACAGAATAAATTCATGGCTTGGAAGTTTAGGGCAGATCTAAGATTTGTTCATATACTGAACTGTTGATTTTGTTAAAACTATAACTGCGATTACATTTTAAATTTACTATTTCAAAATCATTGATGATTAAGCCTGTAAAAAGCAAGGGAAACTAAGGCTCCCAATTTAGAGAACTCGAGCACTGGACCCCAAGGTGTTCTGAACTGCAAGACCAGCGGTTCAAAATCACAAGCTGCTCCTTGGAAACCCTATACAGGCTAACTATGAATCAGAACTGGCTCAATAGAACTTAACAACAACAACAAGTAACAGGCAGAGCTGGAGCTAAGCTCTGGGCTCCCAAACATGTACTGTCTTTTGAGGTAAAAACAATGAGTGACCTTGTACGTGGAAACACTGACTAGGAGTAAACAATAGGTCATTGCAACTTGTTGAAAATGTTAACTATTAATAAATCCAAAAGTTGTTAAAATACCTATCAGAAAAGAAATCGCAAGAGAGGATTAAACCATCCATTGATTGCTCTTCAAAACTGCCACTGATCAAAGTCCAGTTCAAACAGCAAGTCCCAAACAGCTCATCTGTGACACAGTTGAATGACAGGATGGAAGGAAGAACACAAGGTCATAATTAATGGATTTCTCACCTAATAGTTATTTTAACAACCTTCACAGAAATGAGCTAATCTTCAGGGTTTGGAATATAAAAAGGACTGAAAATAAGTTATTACAAAACATCAACCTGTATTCCCTTAAAACCTGATTGTCTGAAGGCTATGTCCTTTCTAACGCATAAGAGTGATTTTAATGATGGAACATTTAGGCCACAATTTAAGAAGAATGAAATAATGTGTGGACAATTTGGGTCCCACCTCAAATGTACATCCTGCTGATAAACATACTCATACATGATGGCAAAGCTAATGTCTAAGGGATAGGCTGTGCTGAGTTCCAATCCTGATCTTCTCTATGCTCGCTAAGAGAATCTGGCTAAGACATAAAATCATTGAACCTGTGCTGACCTTTGGGGATAAAACAACCTGCTTTACAAAGTTGTGTGGGAAAACCTAAATGAAATAACTTAAATAGCACGCTTAGCTCAGCACCTGAACCATATCAAACACTAAAACCAAAGACAAAAATACCACCTTACTCCTACTCCCTCTAATCCCTTTTTCCTAATATCCTAAGTAAAAGTGAAAGCATTGAAAATTACTCTCCTTAGATATCATTTAAATTTTTTATTACATGCATAAAGCAGCAGCAATGTCTTCTGAAAATCATGATCTTTCTTTTAATCACTGATTTATTTCTTTTAATCACAATTACCTTAGTGAATGCTCAAATTACCGGCAACTTGCGTTTTCCCTGGCTCACTTTCCATCACCTCACTTCATTATATCGCCTTTAATTCTGCACCATCACTAAAATCAGTGCCCCTGCCAGATAAGCCCGCCTTACTTAATTTCAGTTAAACTTAAATTATATAATCAGTTTATTTAATCCCTTATACTGTACTTTCTCTAGAAGTCCTTCCAATGGAACCTGGGTGCATGAGAGCTGTGAACCCTACTTTCCATGTTTGATCATGTCTTGAATACCTTTATATTAAACCCACAAAGGTTTAGTGGGTTCCTAGTACATGTAATGAGTCCTGGTGTGGTGCTGTAGGATCAACACTGGACTGCTAACCTCAAGGTTGGTGGTTCAAGCCCACCCTCTGCTCCTCGGAAACCCTATACAGAGTCACTACAAGTTGAAATAGACTCAACGGTACTTAACAACAATTACGTGTAAGGCATAGTGGAAATATTCTGTGAGGAACACAAAAAATATAATGCATAAGACTGGGTTCAAATCTATAGGATTTTGGACTGGTAGGTGTTTATTAAACAGTAATGTGGGAGCTGCTACAGTTCCTGAGGATACAGACGTTGTGTAAATTCTGTCTGGGTTATAGTCACCATGTATCCTGGTGATTTTTGGAGCAAAGTAGGGAGATGAGAAAGGCATATCAGAACCACCTTAGAAGCTTTTCAACCTATGTACAACCAGTTCTACATCCTAGTGTGGTGCTGTAGGAGAAACACTGGAGCACGTCATCACTTTGAACCACTAGGTCGTTGGTTGAAACCCACCAGCTGCTCTTTGGAAACCCTACACAGGGTCGCTCTGAGTCAGACTCGACAGCACTTAAAAACAACAGCAGTTCTCAGGATGAAGGAGCCCTAGTAGCATCGATTGTGAGCTGGGCTGCTAACCGAAAGGTCAGTAGTTCAAATTTACCAGTTGTTCCACGGGAGCAAGAGGAGGCTTTCTCCTTCTGCAAAGATTTACAGCCTCGGAAACTCTATATAGGATCATTCTGAGTTGGAACCAACTTTGTGGTAACTAACACCATTCTTAGGAGGAGATGGAGAGGAGGAGATGGTACAGGTATCACAATATGACAAGATCCCCAAGTGAATATGATGTCTATCATACGCCTTTAGAATCACTGGCCTACTTTGCTTAAATTACATAAACATGACATATTAGTTTAGATCATCTTAAAATCTTTAGAAGAGGGTAGTAATGGACTTTTACTCCTTAAACTCTAACTGTATTCTGACAGTGATGTGTGTATTTTCAGAATGCCGTCACTGCTGAGCTGGGACACAGTGTTAGGAACAAAGTGGGCTTGCCATTATCACCATGATCGACGGCTGCAAAATAAAACCATTTCCAAAATGGTAGTCAAAAGCAAAATTACCTGTAGCATTAAGACTACTGTTTTCACCACATTCCACTGTGATTTTCTGCCATCCACTATCACAGTAAATCCTCTAGCCTTACATTTTTCACTGAAACAAAACAAAATTACAAAGTATTAGTACATACTTTTAGATTTTAAGCTGGAAAATTCTAAACAGCAAAGGTTTAAACTTAATCATAGATGAGAATGAACTGCACTTTGTATGGTTTACATGGTCAATAAATAGAATGATTCAAAGAATCCCTTCATTTTTTTTTCTCAAGCAATTTATTTTTCTTATTTGGAGGAAACATTTATAATTCTCAAGTAATTTGGGAAGACAGTTACTCTAAAAGCATGGCAATTCAATGTCTGACGTGAAGAAATCATAGTAACACTGAAAATAATCCCACCAGCCTCTCAATTTCTTCATCTGTAAAATGGTACTCCAGTGTAACATACTTCTTTGCCTCTCTTTCCTGACAGAGTATAAAGGAAGAGTTTAAAACAGGTAGGAATAGAGCAAGCTCTTAACAAATCATTGGAAATGGGTTTCCTGGCGCCCATTTGGGGAATTCAATGAGATAAGGTAGTGATTGGTGTACAGAGTAATTCAGTGATTAAATACACAATGTCTGATCCACCTCGGCTCTCACTTTATCATTCTTATAGTCACTTTCCCAATAGAGTATTAGCTTGAGTGCTGGAAAATGTGTTATTGCTACATTATATTGTATTATTCAGGCATTTAGGAAGCACTTCTAATAAAAGGCAACAACTACTGTAAAGAAAAACTTTATCCTAAAGATAAAATCTACAAAGCTATGTTGTTGTGTTAAGTGTGGTGGAGTCAGTTCTGACTCATAGTGACCCTGTATACGGTTTTCAAAGAACAGCTGATGGGTTTGAACCACTGACCTTATTGTGAGCAGTCTAGTGCTTATCCTACCAATGTTCCAGTATTATTATTACTTGTAAAAATCAACATAATGCAAGGATTTTAACTGATCTTCATTCAACATTGTAGAAGAAAATGCAACTTTGCTTAGCAGAGCAGGGATTTGGTAGTGAGATCTCTTATCTATCCTAAGTTTACCAAATTTCCTATATTCAAAAGTTCATGGAAAAATTTCATCATCTTTTTGGTCCTTTTTCCTGTGAATGTTTTGAAACCTGGTGTGGCTTCAAATAAGACATCCAGGAAGACTGCTGGGACTGAGCACAGAGCAAGCCCAAAAGAAAGCAGTCATGGCAGGGTGACTGGCTGGCTGTTGAGTGACCCTCAATAAGTGGCAGTACATCAGAGGACTAAGAGTTTCTGATGGAAAGTCTCCAGAGGGCAGGGTGAGACCCAGAGCTGTTGGCAAGGACTAGACCCAAGAGAACGGTGACACACTCAAAAAGCACTTTGGGACTTTCTTGTCACTGGCATCTGCATCCCTGAGGTAAAGCTTAAAAATTACTCTGTTCAACAAATAAGTTTTACAAAAAAAGCTCATTTATATTTCAGAGAACACTCTAAATGAATTTATACATTAGGACTAAAACGGTAGTGAAGCTTGAAAACACCATCTGTAGTGAGCTTAAGGGCATGAGAAAAGTCTAAATTCATCTTTCAGAGTACTTAAACACTCCCTTTATCATAATTGTCTCATGTTTTACTAAGATGGATAGCAAGAATGCACACAATCTAAAGATACTATTTCAAAATTGCAAAACAAAGTGATCTTTCAACTACTTGAAAGGAAATACATTTGCTACTTCATTCCTACAGAGTGATGGTTTAAACTGCTTTTAACAACATATTTAGTTTAAAGACATGTTATGCCCTTCAGAAAGGATATGCTGGAGAAGCCTGATATACATGCAAACAAATCCCTTTAGTACAGTTAAGATTTTATAAGGAACTCACTCATATTTTACCTAGAAAAGAATAGCCAGTGGATTTCCTGAGTTCTGTATCCTGCAACTCTTTCCTAATTTATTTCAATAAAGCCAACACCTTCTTCTCTTCCACTATTAGAGATCTGCTTACTTCATGTATGCTTTTATTATGATTGTTTAGTATTTATCTTCACTAAATAACTAGCCTCTAGAAATCAAGATTGTCTTTCAATTATCTTGGCAATTTTTGCACAATGCTTTAAATTCAGAGGCCCTTTAAAATTGTTCAGTGACATCCAATCATATCAATCCTCATCACAACAATGGTTTGCTTCCCTTCTCATTCAGATTTGAAATCCTTAACATGTAGCCCAGGTGGAACAATGGTTAAACTGTTCTGCTGGGAACCCAAAGATCAGTGGTTCGAGCCCACAAAAAAGATGTGGCAATCTGCTTCTGTCAAGATTACAGTCATGGAAACCCTATGGGACAGTTCTACTCTTCCTCTAGGGTTGCTCTGGGCAGCATTTTGGTATCATGACTCTAGCCTCTCTGTGACGGCTCTCCTACATTCTGTCCTTCTCCATCAGATCCAGTCACACTGACCTCCTTGCTGTTCCAACAAACAAGTTAAACCTGTTCTTGCCTTAGGGCCTTTGGGCTATACATGTCTCTGTGTCTTGAAGGAGTCCTGATGTGTCGCTGCAAGACAAGGCACTGGACAGAAAGGTCGGTTTGAACTGCAAGGTAGACAGTTCAAACTCACCAGCTGCTCCTTGAAAACCCTATGCAGGGTCACTATGAGTCGAAACCAACTTGATGGCACTTAACAACAACTGTGTCCTGAATCATCTCTCAGGTAAACAACATTAATGTATCAGTAAGGCCTATCTTTAAGGAGCTCTGGTAGCACAGTGGTTATGAATTGGGCTGCTAACCTCAAGGTCAGCAGTTCGAAACTACCAGCTGTTCCACAGGAGAAAGATGAGGCTTTCTGCTCCTGTAAAGATTTACAGCCTTGGAAACCCTATGTAGGGTCGGAACTGACTCCATGGTACTTAACAACAAGGCCCTTCTTTACCACCCTTTTAAACTATCGCCACACACCTCCTTCACACCCACCCCATCCCTCTCTTGACACTTTAACAGTACATATGGACACCCAATATATTGTGCAGTGATGACTAACATTCGCTTGGCTGCCCATTAGGACATGGAGTCCAGAAGGGCCGAAGCTGGGCCTGCTTTGTTCCTCATTTCCTCAGTCAGTGAAGACTGCACTGTAGACACATATTTGCTGCGTGGATAAAGACTTATGACCTTATTATCCTTCGACAAGTCCCTAAACCTCTCTACATTCTGCTGTTTTATCTGCCAAATAATTGAGGTGTGTTTTATTTTGTTTTTCTAAAATTAGGAAGAGCTGACAAAGTTAAAATGAGAGAAATGGAAAGGCAGCCCTGTAAATGTTGAATTTCTAACCAAGAAAGGGTTAGTACTTGGCAGGATTTTTACATAGAAGATTTAAATATGGGCAGAACGGTTGGACTAAACGATTGTTAAGGTACTTTCCCACCTAACAAGCTATTGTTCTCCTATTAGATGATTAATAAATTCCTTTTGTGCTAGAAAATGTTATGCTTTTCAGAACAGGCTGAATATCTGCAAATAAAAAATATTGTAAGTAAAAATTTTCAAGACAATTTTATAATGCTATATTCAAGAGAGTTATTTTTACAAGTTCGTATTTTATGTTAATTAATACTAAAAATTTCCAACTAGACATGACTCTGTGATTATACACGAGGTAGGTGCAGTGTCATAATTAGGGGCACCAGCTTGGAGCCAGACTGCCTGGATTTAAATTCACCCTCTAACCTCACAGGTTAGGACTGTCTCTCTGATCAACTGCCAAATTAGACAGCACACCCAGCTAGCCCTCCAACACCCAGTGCATCTGGCAAGAATGACTCGGAACTTACAGAAAGAGCTACTTGTATAACTTTTTACATATATTCACAAACGGATGTCCATGAAGAGGTGCACAGCTGAGAGATCTGGGTCTTTCTTGACTTCACAATGCACAAAGTACCTAGCATTGTGTCAGGAACTCAATGTCAGTAAAATAAATACTGAATTAAATAGATGGTCTAGAAATGGGAGAAAGTGTCCTAGAAAACTAAGAAGGATGATGAAACAGTCGCTTTGGGGAAATTAATCTTGTGCTTTTGCGCTTCTTGTTGTTGTTTTTAAGTGTCGTTGAGTCGATTCTGACTCACAGAGACCCTGTATAGGATTTCTGAGGAGCAGTAGGTGGGTTTGAACTGCTGACTTTGTAGTTCCCAGTCCAATGCTGATCATTGTTGTTGTTGTTAAGTACCGTCGAGTCAGTTTCGACCCATAAAGACCCTGAACAGGATTTCCGAGGCTATAAATCTTTACGGGAGCAGAAAGCCTCATCTTTCTCACGCGGAGCAGCTGGTAGTTTCGAACTGCGGACCTTGTGGTTCGGAGCCCGATTCGTAACCACTACGCTACCAGAGCTCCTTGAATGCCGATCATACAGTGGAGTAAATAAATGGGAGCACAGAAATTAACTTTAATAACTATTGTAATAATCCAACTTAAAATTTCAGTGTATCTTTATTTAAGAACTTATGAATTGGGGGGAGCAGGAAAATAACAAAGTATATAGTGGCAAAATTTTTCTTAAATGGCTCACTTTCCATGTGTGGAAGAAAGAAGAGTGATGAGAACTGAAGATGCTTGGAATCAATGGGCTAATGGATCATGTGACCATCAGTCTCCATGACTCTGAGACCAGAAGAACTAGACGGTGTCCAGCTACCACTAGTAACTGCTCTGAAAGGGATCACATTAGAAGGTCCCAGATAAAGCAGGAGAAAAGTGGAACAAAACTCAGAATTATAAAAAAAATATATATATACTAGTGGTAGTGGTCAAAAAAGACCGGAGGAACCTGAGATCTTGATCACCCTTCAGATACGGAAAGGAACTCACGTTGTGGCCAAACAGTAGATAGGTATGTTCACCATGGAATGGTCAATTATTCAGCATCAAAAGGGCAACATTTACCTAAGGATAAAGTTGAGTCGGAATGGGAAGGTGGGTGCAATGAAAATAGGAACCACAGGGAGAAGTGTGATAACTGCTACATGGAAGGGATTGTAATCATTGAGATGAAACACAGTGCATGACTTACTG